TGTGGGCTCAGGAAGGCCAAAGGGCAATCTTGGGCATTAATCATTAGGACTACAAGTTACCTTGTGTTCTGAGAGTGGCTCTGGGGAGTCACCAGTGTAGGCTGGCTGCCCAGCCAGCCCCCAAGGAAGCCTCCTGTCTCTGCTTCCCAATGCACCCCAGGACTTTTAATGTGGGCTCTAGGGATCATATTCAGATCCTCAATGCTTGTACTTCAGGTATTTACTAATTGGATTATTTCCCTAGCCTATACAATTTGAATTCTCAATGTATCTGCTGATAGCTCCAAGTAAGACTGACAGACTAGAAAGTGGGTTCGGCTTCCACACATCTAGCACCTTCCTCACGGATGACTTCCGGTGGTTGAGTTTAAGTAGTAACAAGAGGGAAACACAGTAGACACTGTACACGGCACTTGAGTCCAGGTCTTCACATCTAAAACAGCGCTGAATAAACCTTAGCTATTCCCAGACTAAATATATTTACCTACAAAGTTGAGTATTTGAACTCTCTTTGCAAACAATCCAATCCATTAATAATTTAATATGTGATTTCCTTTTCTCTTTCATGAACATACACATAAATAATATATAGTATTTTTCAATTACCTAGCATAACGGAAAATCTTCCTGTGTTCCTGACTCTCAACCCACTGGTGCTTCCTAATTTGAGGGACTTTGTGTTAGGAAAGCAGAATCCTTTTTATTATCTGCTATAATCTTAATCTCACTCAAAACTTCAGGCCTTCCCATGGGAATACTGTGTAGATTTATGCCTATCAATATTTAAATGATTTTAACTCCCGAAATTAAAATACAGGTAGAAAGGGTAAGTTCAGTATCTGCATGTGAACCTAAGTAGGAACTGGTGTGGCTGATGAGTTAGCAGATCAGTGAATCTCTGAAATATTCCTAGATCTTCAGAGTAGCTCGGTACATTGTTCTGTATGGTTGCATGGCTTTATACAACAGTAGAATGTGCTAACCTCAGTGCTTCCATGGTATAAACTTGTGCACTGGACTCGGGATTCGGAAGACATTGGTGAACAGTTCAGAATCACAGATTCAAGTTTAATCGTTATGAACTATCACACTGCACACTTAGATAATGGTTGATTCTCCTGATAGAAGTGAATCTGAGAGATAGGTGAAGGTCTGCATTCATGCTTCCACCACCACCACGGAGTTCTACACCTGCTCCAAGCTCAGAGAAATTTCACAAAGCAAATGAATGGCTGTACAGTGAGTTGGTGGCGAATACGTGGATTTTGCTCTGGTGCACTGTCCCATTCGTTGCATGCTTTATCAATTTATTTATTCATTTATTGAAGAAAGACCATCACTCTGTAGCCCAGCCTGGCCCCAGACTTACGACACATCTCCTTCCTCACTTTTCCAAATGTTGGGATTATAAATGTGAACCACCACACATAACTCTACACAGAATTTATATACTGCAGTTTGTGTGCATGCCCTCATGCGTGTGTGTGTGTGTGTGTGTGTGTGTGTGTGTGTGTGTGTTCCTGTCATTGGCTTCTTTATAGAATATATGTTCTTTTCACAATCCTCTTTATGGTAAACAGAATAATGTCCCTCCAAAGATACCTATATCCTAATTTATTATACCGGTGAAAGTTCCTTCATATGGCCAAAACATCCTTCCTGGTTTGATTAGTATGCGGGTCCAGTGTAATGGATAGGGACCAAACAGGAAACATGGAAGCCAGGAAAACAGAAAAGAAAAAGAAGCCCTATAGGGACTCCACCTGCTGCTGCTGGGTTTACAGATGAGAAAAGAATTATAAACAAAGAACGTAGGCAGCCTGTAAATGCTGAAAAGAACAAAACAAGAAAACAGCTTCCCCAGAGCCTCCTGAAGGGAAGCCACAGCTGCTGGTGCTGTTTCATTAGTTGAGTGAGACCTGTGTTTGCCCGTTTTCCTGTAAGAGGATAATATGTTTGTGAGGTTTTAAGCCACTGTGTTTGCGGTGATTTGTTACAGCAGCAGTGGGAAACTAATACAGTCACTGACATCCCTCTTAATCCCCTGCAGCTTTGCACAGCGTGTGTGCAGATACTCTGTTAGCTCTTGTCACTGGTCCTCTCTGTCCTTTCCCTCCATCCGTGTTTGCTACTGTTTCCATGTTGGAAGAGGCTGCATTGACCAAGCTTCTCTGTTTGCAAAGGAGTGAAGCTTAACATAACTACCTTGAGACAAAAAGGAAAAATAGGGGAGAAGGAAGAAGAACAAAAAGAAGGGAGAGGGCCAGGAGGGCACACGGTCCATAAATTGACTTCCAGCCTAGATGAGGACTCAAATCAGCCCACCGATGATATGCTGCCTTGCTTTCTCTTGGTGTGCAGGCTTCTATATGCTTAGGATTTACACATTTTTAGTGGGAATACTGCCTGTTTATTTCAGGAAACGATTCTGGAATGAAATTATTTCTTTTCATTCATCATTCTGCAGAGAAAGAGCTCGTTGGGAGTGTTTCGTTTCTACTCTCTATGACATCATCTGAAAATAGTTCTGAGATGGTCTCCCTCCTGGAACCTAATGTTGGGTGGCAGATAGAGGACTCTCTTCTTTGGGTGACCTCTCCACACTTGCTGGCTGGGCTTCTCACGATAGGCTATTAGAATAGCTGGGCACGGTCCCCAAGCAGTACGGTTGAACTTTCTAGTTCTTCCTGAGGAGTTACCTAAACTGACACTTGGTAGCTGTGCCACATTCTATTACCCAAAGCAGATCACAGGGACCAGAGTCACCAAATGAGAAAAGACAAAGTATAACAGGCATAGGCAGCATTGCCATAGCTCAGCAGGGCCACCTGAGAGGCGGCACCCCCAGTGGATAAAGGAACTCTATGCATAGTTCCTAACCACACTTGGGAAACATAATAGGGCAGTCTCACAAAGAAAGTGGGCGTGATAACACATGCCAATCTCCAGGGCTTTTCCTAAGATATTAGAAACCTTTCAATGCACAGAGTCATGTTTTATTCTAAATATGTTCCCTGTATGGCTTGGGCATTGTCTCGGATTGAGAAAGTCATTAAAAATTTAAGGGTAAAGTTAAGGGAACGTAAACTTCTTCCCATTCGTTTTTTTTTCTTAGACTGGGACTAAAACTATGTTAATATATAGCGAAGTGTGCGAACGAGCAATTAAACTCTATGTGATTTATAGAGAATAAACTACAATACGATGAATCCAGTGGCAATTATTTGCCATAACCTTTTTTAATGTGACAATTCCTTGGATGTTATAGTGAAATATTTCACCCTTCAACTTCACTTTTATGGTGTGTATTTATTCTTAATAGTACAGATTCCAAATTGTCAAAATACTTGAGCTGATTTATGGTAATTAGCTTTAAGTTAGAACATTTGAAGTGCATTCAATTAATTTTATCTGTCTGGTGAAGTACAATAAGGTCCTCGGCTCTGGAAAGTTTTCTTTGTAATATTAGCTATGCATTCGCTGGGAGATGTGCTGGGCTCATATTACCCTCATTTGAATTTGATATTCAGAGAAGGAAATTGCAATATTTGGGATTAGTGAGTATTTAGGAAATGTATGTCTAAGGATTATTTGGGATAGCATCGCCGAGATCCTGAACCGCTCGCTTATTGCACACTTGTTGATTGATCTTACCTATTGCAAATAGGAAGCAATAACAATGGCATAAATTATCCAAAGGTTTGTTGTATGAATGTGACTTCTTTAAGGATCATGTAACAGAACAGTTGGGCAAGAGATTCTCTTTAAACTTATTTTCCCCAAGTCCGTGTACAAAAGAGCTATAGACCCACATGGAGTGGATTAACAGTGATGCTTTTAAAATGAAATTAAATATTCTAAATTTCAGAAAATGATGTGTGATCTGTCCTAGCTAAAGCTTTTATTGATAGTTTATCCGAAATATTATTTTTGTCTTTGGGAGGTATTATATAGTGAATATGAGAGATTTATTTAAACAAAAAACAAACTTTGGATTACTTGGGAGTGATCTTTAGGACTTTGCCTTTAAAATCTGCACAGAAGCAAAATTCCTGATATTATGAGTTGGGATTTCCTCTGTAAGAGGATTTCAAATCGCTACTAAGGTGATGGCTAGTCCTGTGCTGGGAAGCCTCATAGATCAGAAAAACCCAGCTACTAGAAATGCTCAAACTCAATGAAATAGAGGAGACCAATTTAGAGCGAGCAGAGGTACCAGGTTCTCTGGAACTGGGCCCTTTAGTGTAGTAATTATTTTATCTAGCACAAAAGCGAAGAGAAAAAGCAGAATCCACATGGTTATGATGCCTGAATGGAATGAGGTTACTTATCAGAGATCCTCTCAGCTTGACACACCACTGGGAAAGGCGGGTTTATTGATGTTTGCATATGTGGGGTTCAAGACTACTTACAAATCCTGTGACTTCATACCAATGTTTTTCTTGTCACCTTTTTGGGTCTTAATTAATTATTTTCTGTTTTTTTTTTCCCTAAAAACCCGAAGAGGAAAGACTAATATATTTCACAAACTAAAAGGCAGCGTGGTATTAAAATTTATACTCCTGCTACTTATAAAAACAAAAACACATAGTTGGGTAATTAAGTTGTAAACAGCACATTGGACAAGCCAAACAGGTTGTCTGGCATTTGTTTTTCATAAAATATGTTTACTCAGAAACGTATATGAGGCTCCAAGTATAAGTGCACTGTTCCCATTATTTTCAAACTATTAACTCTTATTTTTTTTTTTTTTTTTTTTTTTTTTTTTGGTTTCAGTAGACAAAAACCTCAGCGAGATGTTGGTCCCATTTTTCCCAAATAGTTAGGGATTATAGTTTATTCCTTACAACCCAGATGGGTCATGGCTGTTTAGAAAGAGAAACGGCTCCTGGAATGTTTCCGAAGATGCCTGGCTCCAGCCGGCTACTGAGTGGGTGTGGGTTCCTAGCATTGGTTGACTCTGCATGTTCATGGCTTGCTCCTCTCTGTTTCTCTTGCAGCTATCGGCAGGACACTCATCCCCCGTTATTTTAGCACCGTGTTCGAAGGAGGGGTGACTGACCTGTATTACATCCTCAAACACTCAAAGGAGTCTTACCACAACTCATCCATCACGGTAGACTGCGACCAGTGTGCCATGGTCACACAACACGGGAAGCCCATGTTCACCAAGGTATGGCCAGGCTCAGGTACAGAGAGACCTAAGAGGAAAGGAGTTCAGCTGCTCCTTCAGTTTAACTGCTGACAGAGGCTTTCTTTTCTATGCAAATAAACCTTTGGTAACTGAAAGAATTCACGCAGTATTTGCGCTTGGTTATTTTGAAAGTGTTAAGAAATTTTAAATATGAACAAACAAAGGGGACATTTCACTAGTTACACCTGAACTATTATCTGGCAGTTATCTGCAAACCAAAGGGGCAAACAGGGCTAGGATGCTTCCTCAGGGCTTCAGAGATTCTAGAATTGCAAAGTGTGTCAGCCAAGCAACTCAGCCATGAGCACAGCAGAGATAGAAGCTAGTTATAAAACTAAGAGGCAAAGAAGCGAGGGGCGGGCAGACAACACAGGATTTGAGGCCAAGTTCACAGTGTATGAAGGCTATGAAATGTAAAAGAGAAGGGGCAGGGACTCAGCATCATCTTCTATATATTTTCCACCTGTAATTTCTGCCACGGCTAGAATACCAGCATGTGGACTATCCCCCTCACTGAGGACTACTGGGTAGTATTAACACATGATCCGTATATATCCCCTTCCAAGTGGGAGAGACAGTAATGGCCAGTGAGTCACAGAATCTAGTAAACAGAAGTTAATTATTTATTTTTGATGTGCTAAGGATTGAAGTCAGGGCCTTGTATATGCTAAACACAAAGCTCTGCCCATGATGTCTGTCAGCCCCACAGATACTTGTTTTAATGAATACTTGCTCATTTAATATAAACTAAAATTCCGCATGCATTTATTTCATTAATAGATAGCAGCTATCTCTTTTAGAACAAAACACAGACGACAACCCTCTCTGCCTACAAGGTGTTAGATTATCAGGGTTAATTACCAAAAATCAAATTGCAAAACTGGAGAGGTGCTGCTGGTGTAATTTGCTTGAAGAATAATAAATCAGTGTTTTATATCAGCACCACTTGCCACAGTGGTGCGTGAGTCTTCTCAGTGCCCATGATGGTGTGTGACGCTAAAGGGACCTGGTGATGCAATCCAAAGGCAAGCCATCAGCTATCACTGACCCCATGACATCTTGGTTTTGACAATAGGAATTTTTTACTATGGTAAGGGCTGGGAATTTTCTCTGCCTAATACTTTAACAGGGTGGAAAGGAATTCTTCAGAGAACTGCATCATAAGAATACTGAAGTCTGTGCTGGGAAGAGAGTTTTGCTTATGGGAGGAAATGGCCATTGGAATGAAGGTTTAATTTGCCCATGACTTACTCCATTCTGAAGATAAAGGATATTTTCATAACCATACAGATAAGATGCACACACAGACCCAATTCCCTTCTATGATTACCAGGTCTGAGCAGCGCAGGAAGAGCCCCCCAAATGTTAACACTTTTAGCTGATTCAAATAAAAGACACTATCTCCTTACGCTCTGAGAGAAACAAAATGTGATAATTAAAACTTTTCCATCATTCGGAAATTGTGCTTAATGTCTGCAGCCACTGAAAACTTTAAAAACCATTTTTTGACAGCCTTATTTTTTTAAAAAAAATATTTAGTCAATTTCATTCCTTCTCAGGTCAGGTCCTAATTCATAAATGAACATGTTGAGCTGCCCTGACGCTGTCGTATGGAATGTTTCAGACTTGTGTTAGGCCAATCTGTCTCTTCTGAGGAACCCACGAAGAACCATGAAGTGCTATTTTCATTCTAGTTAAGACTCTGAGGTTTTCCTCTTGGCTGCATTCTTTTTCCTGAATGTCCCCTCTGTTCTCCAGGAGTCCAGTGGGTTTTTTTTTTCCCAAGGAAACAAGGCAATCACTAGAAAGACCTGAACACGGCTCCCTTGGCTCTGAGAGCATCAATTATTCGGACCACCCATGTCATCCAGCTTTAAGGCAGGCAGTATTATTTGCCTATTCCTGTAATGAATATTTCAATACTCTGATGAAATATATATCTCTTTCTAGGACATGTAGTTTCATTATAGGGACTTAATCCAGATGCTAATTATGCACATTTATTTTTAGGAAATTTGATATGATTCAAAGGATTCATTTTTCTTCTCTCTCTCCCTCCCTCCCTCCATCCATCCATCCCTTCCTTCCTTTGTTCCCACTCCCTCCCTTCACCCTTTGATGCTTGCTCTACTACTCTAAGAATCTTCCTAATTTTCCTTGTGTTCTTATGTTAATTAAAAATAATTCTGTTTTGGGTAATAAAGCACTATGGCTATTTTAAACAAACAATGAGCCAATGGCTTTTTTGGTTCCACGAAGAAAGGGAATTCTAAAGCAGCTGCTGACATTTTGGTCTTAGTCCTCGTGTTATTTAGCTCATTATGTGTCGGCAGCTCACATTGTTCTAATTTAGGCGATCACTAAGCTGTTTCTCCCCAAATAGCGTTTGACCCAATGGCGCTGAGTTGCTTTTATGAAAATTTGGTCAACTAGTGAATCAGAAATCAGTTACAGTCCTAATCAACAGAGATATTAAATAATCCTCAGGGGTATACTGAGCATTTTGTAATTTCCTGATACCAGGAACATTATAGATTAAGGATAAATATGTAATTGGAATTTTTAAATGCACATCATAAAGCCTTTCTTTTATGTTTTCAATTTCAAATCAAATAGAAAACAAGGCTTAATAATCAGAAAGGCATGCCGGGAGCCTTGCAGAGTCAAAGACTCTTGAGTTATATTCAAGGATGTGGAAAGGATACCGAGAGAGGCTCTATAAATGCCACGTTCTCGGGTTTTGCAAACTCAAACAGTAGGCACAGACACTACTGGATGGATACCTTCACCACACCTGCCACCATGGCTTTATGAAGGTTTTCTCCTCTCAATTATTTATTATGAAATTATTTACCACTAGATATAACCTGGAAGCACATTAAATACGTTTCCTCTAAGCAAACGTTATTCAAGTGGATTTTTTGACAATTGCTTCCCTATGCTTACCTTACCCGGAGTATCACATTATAGAATATAATTTCTCCTCTCTGTGTTAAGGACCATATCTTCTTAATACACATTTATATATGTGATATCTCTAGGTAAAATTCAGAGATCGCTTTTTAAATAGTATTTAAATAGCATTCCTTATTCTCCTTGTGCTGTTCACATATAAAGATAGAAAACTAAACATTACCGCCTTTTAAAAAATGCACAGATTGTCTCATAGAAGCTGCGTGGGAACCGTTGAATTATACAATGCTGTGGTCAATATTACTTCATTAGTAAGAGACAGGAAGGGGTTAAAAAGCTACTCGGTAGTTTGAGAAATGTTCTTTTTTACTTTTCTTGTTCCTGGCCTAGTCTCAAGCTAGCACGTGATCGACCGAATGCCTGCCAGCCTCTTTCTTGTTGATCCTCCGGAGACCATCTGTGCTGGGGGCATTGATTAGAGTGTGTCTGCTGGGATTACATCTTTTCTGTTGCCATGCCAACTAATCAGCTGATTTTGGTTACCACAGAAACAAAATGTCAGAGCTCACAGTACGGTAACATGAATTCAGCACAACAGAAAATGTTTTCTTAATTGGGGACCCTTTTGATTTTTGGATTCCAACAGAAAGGCAGGGTTTTTGTTTTTTTTTTTAAGGCCAGCATTAGATAAAAGCTGTATTAACTGTATTCGTTAATAAGTGAATACAGATATTTTTGAAATGAGAAAAACATTACTTCTATTTTATTAGCTATGCTTATTTTTTTTTTAATATTTTCTAACAAAGGAGTCATACATTCCTTCATATGTACCTCTGTTATGGTTCCTGGTGGTTGCATAGAAAACAAACCACAAAGCCTTTGGTTTCACTTAGCTTCCATTACAGAAGGGGGGGTCGTCTCCCCAAGTCTTCGGATGGTTCTGCATGTATAATCACTTCGAGAAAAGAGCAATGACCAAAATTTTCCTCTGTTCTTCATTTTTGAAAGACATTTAATTTCCTCTAAAAAATAAACCTATTGTAATGAACCGGGACACGATTTTCGGGATTCCCACTTTCCCTTAGTGTGCCCTGGATAAAGTGGACCCATTTGACTATGAAGGGAGCCCAAGACTTGTGGCAATTTTTCGTTTTGTAGGCCCGAGACGGTTTGTCTGCATAAGAAGGCCCAACTAGTTTGCTGTGTCATAGTAAACAAAAGACACACTTGACCTTGGCCCTGCAGATGCTCAGATGAGCTGATGTTCTCATCGTGAAGCTTGGTTCTAGTAGAAGCAAACCAGAGCCTTTATCTGCCCTGACCCTGTGGCTGACAGAAAGAAACCAAGCTGAATATATGATAATAACAATAACAACAACAGTAATAATAACCCTGAAATTTAGCCAGGTTAATATTTGTTGACCCTCCAATAATACCATTTCTAAGAGCCTTGCAAATGTGGGTTTTCCCATTAATAGTTGACTATCACAACCCTCCCTTCTGGGAAAGCTGACACTGCAGGTGATTGCTATTACATTAACACCCTGATGGTGCGGGTAAGAAGTTCATTGGTTTAGTCTTCATGGGACTTCGTTGAAAACCTTGATACATTAATTCCAGTGCTCCAGACGTGTGTGGAAGAATAGTTTGGGAACACTGATGACACCTCCATCTCTGCTCCCGTAACACTCGTGGCTATGATGCCAGAAGCCGGGCTCAGCATACAACCCCTCTCAGAGTTTTAGGGCAGGGTGCCCACATGTCTGAAATTACTCACAAGTTCTGTTAATTGGATCCGAGGTAGAAGTCTTCACCTAGATTAGCAATAATTATCTCCCTGTGTCCCAGAGATCTTTGATAAAAATGAAGATGGCAAATCCATCTTTTTTGAGCAAAGCCCTATTAAACTCTCCATGGTAATTCTCACAGACAAGGTTTAGATTGTGTAAAGAAGCCATCTACTCCCATCAGAGTACTTGGAAAGCCCCCATCATTGCCTGTGACTGTCAGAGCTTCCGAAAGTGTATTATTTCAAGAGGAGAAAGATTATCAATAGCTCGTGAAAGCTTGTTATAAACTGTGAACCGCCATCTTCCTGGACTATAGCTTTGTGGATTAATTTTGCACATTGCTTCAGACATTTGCATAGTTGTGTTAACTAGGAAATCTTTCTGCCAGAAAGATTGAGTAGAGACTCGGCATATTAAAGAGGAGAGAAAGAATGGAGTCTAGAGGCTCAATCCCTTCTAATTTGGAGCAAATCCCCAGAGATACTTCCTGTGATCTACAACTCAGCGTGTGCACCATGGTGGCCATGACTGAACTCTCTCTTCCCCTTGGTTCTGTTTATCTGCTCAGCTACATCTTACAACCTTACTATTTGTGCCAGGCACAGTATCCAGCATTCTACATATAGAATTCCCTGAAATGTGTCTCCTCAATAATTCTAGTGAGGTTATTGTCTTGGTTCTGTTGATAAGGAAAATGCATTTGGTTTCCCCCGAGCTACAGCATGAGAAAAGTAGAGTCAGAATTCCAATCCAGTAACATCTGTTTTCAAAACCTCCATGCATTACGGCACTCCTTCCGCAGAGCTAATAAGGGTTTACTAAACAGTTGGAATGATGTATGCTCTCCTTTCCTTACTGGCTCATAGTTCAAACTGGAAAATAGTGTGTGCTGTCTTGTATTATTTTCTTCCCTTTCAAAGTCATTGTGCTAAGAGTAATATGAATATGAAAAGTTAAAAATGCCTTTGTCACCGATTATAAGGAAAGAGAGACTCTGGCCTTCTGTTGCTTTATTAATCACATATGTTCTTAGGAAGGTGAGAGACTAGCCATCCCTTTATGTAATATAAACAAAACTTGCCACTGTAGCTGTGATTAGTGTATTTTCTATTTCCCCTGTATCAATGACTGGTATCGCTGCATTGGATTGAGTATTACACTTTGGAATTCCCCTTTGGAAATGAAGACCCACTCTTGATGGGTAACTTTGTAATAATTCACACCTGAGTGTCAATTATTATCCCATTTGTCTTATGGGAAACTTTCTCCAAAATTAGGGAAACTAAAGATTTGGGGAGCATTTCGAAGTCAGATCGAAAACTTATATAAGGGAAACTCCCGTAAATCCATGAGTATGACCCCCCACTAAGACTCCTAGCAACTGTGGATACCTAGTGTGAACTGGCCATCTCCTATAATCAGATTGGTGACTACCTCAGTTGTCATCAGAGAGCCTTCATCCAGTAACTGATGGAAACAGATACAGAGACCCAAAGCCAAACGTTTGGCTAAGCTCAGGGAATCCCACTGAAGAGAGGGAAGAAGAATTGTAGGAGCTAGAGGGTCAAGGACGTTACAAGGAAACCCACAGAAACAGCTAATCCGGCTCATAGGAACTCACAGAGTCTGAACCAACAACCAGTGAGCCTGCACGGGGTCATGCAAGGGTCATGCATATGTGACAGCTGTGTAACTTGGTCTACTTTTGGAACTCCTCGCAGTGGGAACAAGACCTGTCCCCAGTGCTTTGGCTGGTTCTTGGGAACCTATTCCTCCCACTGGGTTACCTTGCCCAGCCTTAATACAAGAGGAGGTACTTAGTCTTACCGCAACTTAATATGTCATGCTTTGTGATGCCCATGAGATGCTTGCCCCTTGCTAACCAGAAAGAGAGGAGTAGTGAATTGAGGGATACAGAGGGGAGGAGGGAAGGCAATGGGAGGAAATGAGGGAAGGGAATGTAAAAAAAACAAGCAAACAAATAGATAAATAAATACTATGGCTGAGGCACCCATGGGATGATGATCATGAAAATGAAGGTGGTCAGAGAAGGTGGGCTTTGAACTAATGTTGCTAAGAGATGGATGTTTCTAAGATGAAGAGTCAGAATCATGTAAAGTTTCATTGATAGTAGAGTGACTGGCACTTGTGGCTAGTAAGCAACCGAGCAACCTTCTGAACCTGTTGATGATAGAGCTGATACTTGTCCCTATGTATCATGGGTACACCACCTGAGGACCTCAACAAACACTATATTTGGGGAGTTGATATGAGTTACAAACTATTGCTTGTATGAACTGCATAGCAAACAAGTGTGCTCTTTGTCACCCCCAGGTATGCACAGAAGGCAGGCTGATCTTGGAGTTCACGTTTGATGACCTCATGAGAATAAAAACGTGGCACTTTACCATCAGACAGTACAGGGAGCTGGTCCCCAGAAGCATACTAGCCATGCACGTAAGTAATAGTCTCTTTCCTTCTTTTTCCCTCTGCTTCTTACTCAGCAGGGAAATGATATGGGAGTGATTTCTTATTAATAAAGAAACTGCCTAGGCCCATATGATAGGCCAACCCTTAGGTAGGCGGAGAAAACAAAACAGAATGCTGGGAGAAAGAAGCTTAGTCGAGGAGTTGCCATGATTCTCCCACTCCAGACTGACGCAGGTTAAGATCTTTCCTGGTAAGCCACCTCGTGGGCTACACAGATTATTAGAAATGGGTTAGATTAATATGTAAGAGCTAGCCAATAAGAGGCTACAGATAACAGGCCAGGCAGTGTTTAAAAAAATACAGTTTCCGTGTAATTATTTCGGGCATAAGCTAGCCATGCGGGCTGCCGGGTGCCCAGGACGCAGCCCTGCCGCTCCTTCAACAGGGAAACACAGTTTGTTCTGTCTGAACAAAGTCCCGCTATCACTACAAGGAGTTCTAAGTATTCAGTCTTCCTCTCAATCATTTGAATGCATAAGTTCTTTTTTGCTTCCTTTGTTTCCAAGCTTGTGAGAGGTTTTTCATATGTTAGGGAGTTTCCCTTGACGAATGGTTTTTATTTTCTTCAGCTGCAGTAACCCTGTAGCAGATACTTTTCTATTTGGGTGTATGAATCTCCTACCTGTAATGAGAATGTGAGCTAAAACAGGAAGTGGGAGCAGCTTCCAGTTCTGATTAGAACCACCTGACCGAAAGTGAGGCTCCTATCCTCTGGATCTATTGGTTCTTCCTAACTATGGTACCATGACACTTGGCTGGAATGGAGACAGGGGGCATGCAACAGAAACAAACTTCATGACCTGATGCATTCATGGCCCTGAGAATTCAAAAGAGAACAAAATAACTGCAGATTCCATTTACAGAATTTATTAAACCAAAACTTTTGCTGAAAATTTAATATGCAACTATCACTCAGGGGTTGACTTATTAATTATTATTATTTCCGAAGTAAGGAAGGAGATGGTCTAATGTCTTTCAATCTGAATATGGCAAAACCAAGGTAGTGACCCACTTAGTTCTGAATTCAAAACTCTGTCCCCAGCTTTGGACTTCATGCTCTCTCTCTAGACCTCTGATCTCACCCTGGTCCTCCCTACCTATTAACCTTACCTCTGCCTTTCTGGTGACATCCGGCCTTCTGCTGTGCCATGCCTATTTCCACTCCTTCAGATTCACCATGCTTCAACTCCATCAGCACTTTCAAAGCAAGTGTGACACCTTCCACTCTTCCGGAAGAAGTCTGGTTTACCAACATTACTGTTCTTCTCAAAATACACCAGAAAGCATCAGAAGAGTGTGGATGAGAGCTGAGGCCGTACATGAAGAGCTCATGATGCTATATTGCTGCTCATGAGAGCCTTGTATAACTGATACAATGTCCCTGGACTTGTAGTCCTTCATCCATACAGTGGTGTGGTTCTGAGTGTGCCTTGGAGACCTGGCTTGAGACTCAAGAGTTAACGATTGCAGAACATTCAGAATGATGCTTGAGTCATTTAGGATGTCAGTAGGTATTGTTGATCCATTCTCAGCAGCAGCAGAAACATTGGAACAAACATCCTTCTATCATTGGTTGCTGTCCAATTACAATACAAGCTGCTTGTTGTTACCCATGGCACAACTAGAGTCTACATAGATCCAGATCTTCCCATAGAGGGTCAATGTCCATAAGACTCTATTTCAAAATTGACTGGAAACTGTTACTCCACAGTCATTTTCATCTATATTTTTATCTATGATTACAAGTAAGAATGATACTATCACTGAACAAAAATCACAGACAAGAATAGGGTTCTATTAGTTATACCTGATGTGGTCTTGTGAGCACAGATATGAAGAAAAGCCTGTTTATTTAACTCTCCCTATGCATGGAATGAATTTGATGAGAAAGAAGCAGAGTGAAGAGGATCAACCATGTAACTTACTTTCATATGCAATGACTTTTTTTTTGGTTGGGGGTCTGTCCAAATATAATATTTGGGCTGATCTGTGACACTTTATATCTCCTGATACTTTGAAAAATGTGATACCTATCTTTTTCATCCCATAGGAAGAAAGACATTGAGAACATTATTTTAAACCTCAGTTTAGTGAGGTGAGGGTTCTAAAATTCTATTTCTTCACATACTCTGAATACATATATATTGGATTTTGGCATGATATATTATTGCATCATATATTTTTGTGATAGCTACAAGTTTTCAAATGCATCCTACATCCTGAATGGTAAAAATACCACCCCTATCTCACCAGGGAAGAAGCATGGCTCTGCCAAGTTCAGAGACATCTCTTTCTGTGGTTCAGACTAGAGTTCTTCCGGCAGAGCTCAGGGACTTCCATCTGAAGACACAGAGCCAGGGTCTCTCACAGAGAAAGCGACATCTTTTTCTCTTGCATCAAATGCTCATCTGAGGCAGTTTGGTTTTCTAGTCTTGCAGAAATAATTTCAAAATGTCCTTGAGTACTAGATGGAAGTGACTTCCAGATGTAACTTAAATTCTCTCCAGCAATCTCTACCCCCAAGACAGGTCAATTGTGTCAAGAGTGCGTGTCTCAGCAGCAACAACATAGTCTAATGTTTTCATGAGATCATCTCATAGAAGTGAAATATGTAATTTTTCCTCCCTTTTCCCTGTTTAGGCACAAGATCCTCAGGTCCTGGATCAGCTGTCCAAAAATATTACCAGGATGGGTCTAACAAACTTCACCCTCAACTACCTCAGGGTAAGACTGATTGAGTGATTCTATTCCTGTATTGAATTTGGAAAAAGAACGTTAGTTTTTTTGTGTTTGCTTGTTTGTTGTCTAATGTATCCTAAACCAAAGAGTTAAATGAAGTATAAGCTAGGCTGGGTAAACAGACCATAATCCCAGATACTTGGGATTCTACTACTACTATAAGTATAGTAGTAGACCATAATCCCAGATACTTAGGAGGTAGGAGGATGGTAAGTTCAAGGCTCTGAGGGGTATAGAGTAAGTTCAAGGATATCCTTAGGAACTTAATGAGATCCTACCTCAAATTAAAATAAAAATCATAGTAAAAGACCTGTGTATATAATATAGCTCAATGGTGGATTGTTTCCCTAGGACATGAGAGGCCCTGGATTCTATTCCAAGTGCTAATTATTATTTAGTTAATTATTTAATTAATTAGTAAAACCAAGTATACACTGCAGAGATGCATATTCTATGCCCCCTGCTGTTTGGTGTGGTGTAGTTTCTATGTATGTGTGTGTGTGTGTGTGTGTGTGTGTGTGTGTGTGTGTGTAGGTATAGTAGTAGTAGAAGTTAAGGTTTAATTAATAATCATTAACAAAGCATCAGATCTGCACTTAGGGTTGACTTTGCTTATACAGGTGTGTAACCCTTAGAATTCATTACTCAAATGGAAGCCATATCCTTATTCTGTAAATATTTTGGCAGTACTTATGAAGTTGTATCCACTTTCTAATGTAGTATTGTTTGAATTTACTGTCTCTGTGTGTTCATCCTGGACTCAACTCCTCCTAAGGGAATCAGTGTGTCACTTGAGGCAAGTAACCAGAGCTATAGAATCTCCTGGAGAAATTTGACTCAGTGCTGGGATACAGGCATTTCGAAGCCTTAGAAATTCTCTGTTTAACATGGCATTGGTTTGGTTTTTGTTGTTGTTGTTTATTGTTTTTGCTTTTGTTTTGATATACTTTGTTTTTATTTTTAAATATTGTTTTAAACAACATGTCTTACCTATCCAGTACTAGCAGCCTCCATATTTGTTCTAAATGAGTTACAGCCATCACACCGGTTTGATGTAGAAGTCCAAGAGTCAAGTTACCAGTGGCATATCTGCTTTCATTCACAAAATGAGCATTGTGCTCCAGAATCCTGAGAAAGTGGTGGCCACTTTGCCCCCGATACATTATCTCCTCACTGTGCAGCAATTTGACTCACCAGGGCCCCCTCCCAGCAGAGCTGATGCTTTGGCTTCTCTCCCCGCCAGTTTTCTTGGGGTCTGTGGGTTCTGTTTTGTACTCTGCATGCTCTGGGTACAGCCTTGCACCTGCTGAAATGCAGTCGGTCTTGGCCAGGCTCACTCTTCTATGTGGTGGAAGTCGTGTTCCGTTTCACTCACATATTTCTAGACACGGAAGATACAAAGAAAAAAATCTATCCTCTGCCACTAAGAAATTCATCCCTAAGGGATGAGACTCATAAGAAGAAGACAGTGCAGAGCGGTTAATACCGCAATGGAAGTTTCCAGAAGGAAACAAAAACACTTCAGGGAGAAAAATCGTTCTGGAGAAGGCTTCATGTGAAAGGTGATTCATGAGTGCAGTGGGGAAAGCTAGAAACATGAAAATCAAAGGACAGGGCGGGACATTTCCATTATACAGAAAAGAATTTACACCAGAAGGTGGGGCATATATAAGCCATCTGAGCATTGAGCAGGTTTTGTACTCAGTATTCCCAGTGAGGAGTCAGGCGGGGTGAGAGGGTAGGTCTTGTCTGAATGGTTGCTGGACTGGACAAACTATTTCATGATGAGGAACTTCTGGAAGAATCCTGGTTCTGGGTTGACAGGGAAGATCCTCTTCATAGCCTAAAGCATCTGGAACCAAAACCAGACCTGGAAAAAGGCAGAATCAGTTGGGTTCCCCACCAACTCATGCATCACCCTTATAGTCACAGCAGTCCTGAAACATTGTGTCTTCTGCCCAGCAGGGTAGGAAGCCTATGTGCCCCAAGCCAGGCACCTGTGACTCTGTCCCCAAACCTCTGAATGCTGCATTCAAACCCAGCTCTGCTTGGGTGTGGCGAGCTATGTGGGAGGGTAGCTGTACCTGGGGTTGGCGCATTTGTTATAGCCCTAGGCACAGACCCCACCTAGCTTCCCTTCGCCGCTGCGCTATCTCTCATAAGGGACCAGAAGAAGTGAAAGCTATAGATGCCCCCTCTCAGAAGAACTGCCTTCCGTGCCCTGGCCTCAGCTGGCCTGCATGGGGATCAGGACTCTGGAGCTGGTCCAGACTCTTTGACTAATCCTCTAGTGAGATCTTGGGCAGACTCTTGGTGCCATCTGTTAGCTGCTTTGAATGTAGATTGACAAGGACCAAGATTTCCCCATCTCCCCCCTCCCCCGGCCTCTCCCAGGTATCTGTAAATGATCAACTTTCACTGTGCAGTCAGGACGCTCCACGTCACCACACTCTACAGTCCTGAAGGCTGGGAATGTGGATAAGGGCTGACGCTCTCTCCTGACTATGAAGTCAGGAACCCCCTGGAGCAGGGGACTCTCCCAAGCTACCACTTCAGTGTGGGGCTGGTGGTGTGCCAGGTTCTATACCATAAACTTCCCGACCTATAAGTCTAGAAGTCTTGTCCATGGTCACCATCCTCAGGAGAAAATGAGCTATGGACAGGATACATACATGATGTAAGTCACCCAGCTTTCCTTACCATATGGCAGAACTAGGAAGTTGAACTGAGGCAGCCTGCTGGGGCACCGTGTGTTTCGCACCACAACTCTGCCAGTCTACTAGTGGGGAAGGACGCTGGTCCTGATAGGAAGAGAGGTGCAGCCAGCCCCTGTAGCATGGCAGCCGTCAGAATTTTCAGCAAATGGGTTATGCTTTCTTCTTTCCAGGTCCCTACACAATCTGATTCACTGCCCATCACACAATTTCTGCCCTTCTCTCCCATCTAAGTATCCCAGGCCAGATTTTCTCATCCGTCAGGATGTATTCTTCTATACTTTATATGGGGTCTCTCCCTTAACCTTCCTGGAGTCCTCAGCACCTGGTCAAAGCTGGGATACTGCAGGTCTCGTTGACAGACCCTCACTCTACTCCCTTAGCTCCTGTTCCATGGTCTAAGCCACGTGAACACTCCTAAGTTCCAGGGAAATGTCACTTGAGTGAACAGTTAGCAGATGGTTTGTTAAATGATAGATTTGATTTTGAGTGACAGCAAAAAAAAAATTTAAAAAAAAACCTGTATGATTAATTTTCAAAGTCACTCCTAGAATTTCACCATGGAAACAAAGCGGCAGTGAAGTGGGTAGAATGGTATTGAAGACTAAAAGAAACCTCTAGGTCTTTCTAATGTGCAGAATTCCCGCATAGAGACCCGACTCTGACTTTCCAGTGTCAATTTTTTATTCACTTGCATTTCCATTTGCTCTCCCATTAGAAAGTTTTACACTAAATATCACTCCCCCTTTGTTATTTTGGGAAGGCATTCTTTCCACTCTGAAGAACAGATTTTTTTTTTAAGTGAGTAATTTATTTTGTCTACTTCCCTTGGTCTGGTTTTCTTAGCAGCTGTGAGATATATTTTGTGTTTTAAGGGTTATACTTGACAGAATGTTAAGGCAATTATTATCCCGAGTCTTAACTAAGCGGCATTCCTTTTGTATATTCTCTAACGCTAGATCCATCCATATGCACAATTTCTGCTTTCATGCAATTAGGTTGCATGTGACTTCCTTTTAAAAATATTTACATTTTAGTTTTTGCTTTTTATTATATATGTATATGTCTGTACTGGGCTCTGTGAACATGAGTGTAGGTGCCTATAGGGACCAGAGGTGTCGAATGCCCTTCAAGCTGTAGTTACAGGTCATTGTGGGTGCTGGAAACTGAACTCAAATCGTCTGCAGGAGTAGCAAACGCTCTTAAGTGATGAACCATCTCTCCAAACCCAACATATGGTTTCTTATTATTGTCTAGTGAACAATGGCATCATAGTAACCATTTATAATAGCCGCCGACACTCAGGTATGGATGGTGACAATGTTGGTTTAATTATCTAACGTGAAACGTGAAGCCATCATCAAATTCTTTAATGCTTTCCCTTGAACTCTGTCACACCTGCTCCTCTTCACTGTGTTTCCTGACAGAGGGTTAGACTACTAGTTCCGTTCTCATCGCTATGGTCTTGAGCAAGCCGCTTAAGTTCCCTGATCCTCAGTTTCTCCCTATGACAGTTAGGAATGCGATGTCTCTCAAAATTGCCACGAAGACTTCATTAGAAGCCGATGTATGGGGGAGTTAATATTCATATTTATATAAACATTTATATAAATACCAGGCCCATGTGCAGGAAGTAGGTCAGAGTCCAACTTCCACCACTGTCATTGATTATTTTGTGATATTTATCGAGTGCCTTCACTTCTCAGAGCCCTGCCATCTGCACATGTGAAGGGTTCTATCCCTTACGCATCCCAGCATCTGTGTCACGGGTCAGCGTAACAGTGACAGAGCATGTGGCTAGTCCTTTCCTGGATTAGTGCTCCAGGAAACCGAGTGTGCTTTGCTGCATCTGTTGACTTCTTTGGATTGGTCACAGCTTTGACTTCTTTTGGGGAGCTCTGAAACCATACAGAAAATCAGAAGAAACAGGAAGGAGAGAAGGAGAAGGGACTGGAGAATGATGTGGGGTATAGGAGAGAGCCCAAGATGTGTGTCATATATGCTTCTGCTCCTGTCAACGATCTGAATGTGGGGTGTCCCCGATATGCTCATGTGTTTGAAACTTGGTCTCCAGTTGGTGCACTGCTTTTAACATTGTGGAAGCGTGGGGAGGTAGAGGCTTGCTGAAGGAAGTCAGTCACTGGAGGAAGGCTGTGAGGTTTAATAGCATCTCCACTTCCTCTCTGCACCCTGCTTCTCAGCTGCACATACAACATGACTCTCTTCGCTATTCCTTCTCCTCAGTGACAAACTGTAAGCAGAGATGAACCC